GCCCTGGCACAGGGTGCCCAGAGAAGCTGTGGCTGCCCCATCCCTGGAAATCTCCAAGGCCAGGTAGGATGGGGTCCATTCCCATGACAGGGAGGGCAATGAGGTGATCTTTAAAGTCCCTTCCAACTGAAGCCATTCTGTGGCTCTGTGATAAGGTCACTTCTTTGACCAGTTTCAGAGGGGCTGCAGAAAAGCTCACTAGAGTCAACCCAAAACTTGCAGGAAAATGGGGAAATTTTCCTGCCTGGCATTTCAGTAATTAACCCACCCAGATTTCTGCATCTCAGGGAACAATTTCTACACTCAGGGTTAGACAGATGTGTCTGTGGCTCCACACCTCTGGCATGAAGATTTCAGCTGCCCAAGGCTGGGATTCCTGGTCCTTCCCACTGGGTGGGATGTTGCAATAAACCACATGCTTGTCCACAAGCTGGTGAAATAAATGAAAACCAAATCCAAGAGGCCCTCAGGGAAAAGGAGCAGTGCTCAGCTTCTAACTTTCTCTCCAAACACTCAGATCCTCAATTCCATCCTCCAAAACACACACCAGCTCTGGCAAAAGACAGACACTGCTGCTGCTCCTCTTCATTAACACAACTCTAATCAGAGAAGGTTTCAACAGAAACAATTCCAAGGATTTTCAGTGGTTTAAAACTTGGAATCACATTCAGGAAGGATTTATAAGGCCCCTATGATCGACCCAAGAGTCCCAGGGCTAATTTGTACAGCAGTGTTGAAGGCAAAGATCCCACAGGCAAAGGGCCTGTGCTGTGTGCTAGAGATCCTTACGGAGCTGGGACCCAGCTGAGCCACTCCGAGCTCACCCAGGATTCTTATCCCAGGGAGCTGCTGGTGAGACCTTAGATTTTTAAATAAACAAGAGAATAGAAGGAGTATGAATTAAGAACGGAGTTACCCCATGGGGCTGGGCAGCAGATGAACACGTTTCACTTGTTTGTTCACTTTTTCACTGACTGCTAGAAAAATGGGTTTAAAACTCACTGAAAAATGATTATTTTTTTCTAAATGGAAAAAATATTTTTGCTAGAAAAAAAAAGTTTTAATAGAAGTTGAGTGAAACTGTATAAGTCAGCTTTACTTAACACTATCATTTATAAGCAGGGATGGTGAAACTGTAAATAGAATCAAAATGAGTCTTGGAGCAGGAGCATAGGATTAAAAATGCTGGGTCAGCACAAGTCATGTGCATTTCCAGTACATTTTTCTGGGAGAGCATGAAGAGAAAGTGTGGGAGAGTGAAACTGGGAGTGCTGGGGAGAGGCACAGAAACTGCTGCCAAGTGGAGAAGGTGATGGTGGTGGGTTTGGGTTTCAGAAAGAAAAGAGGGGAAGAGAATGGCTGAAACGAGTACAACCAAAGGTAAAGTTATGATAAAAAAGAACTCAGCTCTGCCCTTGTCCTTCCTACCCAGACAAGGAGCAAACAGAGCTGGGAACAGCTGGACCACGAGGGGAGTGACGGGTTTAATGTCACTGGGAGTGTTGGCATGGCACGGTCAGCACGTCCAGCAGCAAATGAAAAATCCCATGGGAAGGCATCACCCAGGGCTCCTCTCTCATGAAACACATTTCCATTTCACAGCCCTGCTCAGGCAGGGTGTCCCGGGCAGCCCAAAATGCAACTGTATTCCATGTCTAGCTGTGCCCAAAAATTGCTGTCTTGAACCATGGGGGTCATCTCCTGGCCATGCTAAGGCCGTACAAGAAATGGAACCATCATCTCCTCAGTTCTTCCAGCCCTAATATCGAGGCTAAACCCAGGAACCAGGAGTGGGAGCAGCTGAGCCCACGCATGGCCAGAACCCGTGGGGATGCCTGGCCTGGCCACATCCCACAGCAGCATCCTGGGTGACCCCAGAGATCCAGGACCACACCATCCCAAAAATGGGACAGCCCCAGGAAGGATCCTGAGCTCGGCCAGGCAGCGGCACAAGGACGGGGAAGGGGAAGGGGAAGGGGAAGGGGAAGGGGAAGGGGAAGGGGAAGGGGAAGGGGAAGGGGAAGGGGAAGGGGAAGGCGTGGCTGTGCTGACAGCAGCACCCCAAGCCCACAGGGAGCCTCTGTGCCCGGCTGAGCAGAGGAACAGAGTCCAAGTAGGTTTGTGTGGGTGGAGATTAGAAGTGGAAAGACATCCTGCAGTGGAAGTGAGATGTGTCTGAGGCCTCTTGGCTCCGGAAAGCAGCATTAAGGAGATGGGAGGTGGGAGGGCTCACCCCAGCAGGGCACTGGGTCACCGTCTCTGCCATCCTCCCACCACCCTGGGAGCAGCAGCAGGAGCATGGGCTGCCCAGGCAGCAGCAGGAACTTTGGATCATTCCTGAGTGAGTTCACTTCATGACACAAGAATATTAGTGTAGGCTGCAGAGGCTTTTACATCTGATTAGAAATTGGAAAATTGCAACCGTGCTGCTTGCAGGATCAGCTACAAAGCATTGGGAATAAATCAAAAAAACAATCAGCTGGGAAGGAGCTGCCCACAGTGCAGCCCACGGTGTTCTCATAATAACACCCATGGAGTCACTTCAGATGAGCTCAGGAGATCAGAGATGCTCACAGACAAGTCTGAACAGAAGAAGGAACAAACAATCATGGAATACCAGATTGGAAGGGACCTCGAGGAGCCCTTGGTGCAACCTTTCTTGCCAAAAGTACGGTCTAGGCAAGTCAGCCCAGCACCCTGCCCAGCTGAACCTTGAAAGTATCCAGCACTGGGGGATGCACCACTTCCCTGGGGAAGTGATTCCAGAGGTTGATTGTTCCCACTGTGAGAAGTTTTCCTCTCGTGTGCAGCTGGAACCACCCCCGGAGTAACTTGCACCCAAAGGAACCACAGTGCCAAAATTACTGGTGAAGGAAGCAGGCAGGTCCTACAGGGAGCACTCAGGGATGGGCAATCCCACCCAATCCCTGGGCTCAGCATCTCCCTGGGCACCCAGCTGCAGGTGGGCAGAGGGTGGCAGCAGCTGCAGCCAGCCCTGGAGGGTGACGCTGCTCCTCCGAGCCTGTGGTCCTCCTCCCCACGGGCAGGGCTGCCAACCATCCCACATCCCTGTCCCCACACCCCCGGGCACTTTCCTCCTTCCAAGGACCATGTGGACCTCAGTGCTCCTTCAGTCCCCTCCTTTGACCCCTCCACAGGGTGGCTCCTGGGGAGCATTTCACCCTCCCCGCTCCTTCTGCTGGTGTCACCCCTCACTCCCACCTGAGCCAGGCCTGGCGATGGAGAGCTGAGGAGCATTTGATGGCTGGGTGGTTTTCCAGTGCTTGTTCCCTCCTTCTGCTGGAGGAGGGTGTCTCCACCTGAGGCTGAGGCACATTCTCACTCCTCAGAGAGGAAGGTCCCTTCTCCCAGGACATCTGCACCAGCAGGCCACCAAGACCTCAGGCAGACAGAGATGCCACTTCACTGCTGGCCAGGCTTTCCTATTCTGCAACCCCTTTTATCACCTTCCTCTGGCCTTCATCCCTGTTCCCAACATCCTTCTCAGCCAGTGGATTTCTTCAGCACGAGGGGTTAATCCCAATGAACCTTTTCTGTCTGAAAGTCAGACTCTGCTGCCCATCCCCTTCACCCCCTGGCAGAGAGGGGCTTGCAGAAGGCAGCTGATGCCACCTGACAATTATGCATCAAGTCAAGAGTGGTGGAGCATTTTCTGGAGGTTCTTCTTGCCCAGGGAGAAGATGGTGAGTCCATGGGCACCTGCCTGGCAGAGCTGCTCTTGGAGACTGCTGGGGCTTGGCCAAACCACAACTAGAAGTTACAGTTCTCTTCCAATGGACATCAACACACAGCTCTTCCTGTGCTGTTCCAAAAGGTTTTGGTTGGGGAAAGGGCAAAAACAACCTCTTCAATTAGCCTGTCTTGCAGTAATTAGGAGAGATTGTTTAAGGTAGAAAGTCAGGCTTGGTCTGCCCAGAAGTTTTTAGGAAAGGCATTTATACCAGAGCCCAGCTGAGCTGAACATCCCCCAACATCTGCTCCAGCCCAACCCTTGGATGTACCCCCTGAGACGGGGATTAACACAGCCCAGTCACATGGGAAAGCTCCAACAGGCGCCTTCATTTTCACTGCAGCAGCTCCAAGGTGTGCCAGCACCTCTCCCACGAGGAAGCCTTCCTCCTTCTCCTCCTCCCCGTTCCCATCAGGTGGGTGCTCTGCTGCTCTGCTTGGGGACTGGTCCCGCGGGCCCTGTTTGGGTGTCAACTGCTGTGAAGGGTTAACAGGATTATAAACCATCCTGCCTGCCTAAATCCCCTGGGCTGTGGGATTGGACTGGTTATAAACTTATTAACAGGGGCTGGTGGGGGCTGCAGGACCTGCTCTGCCAGCCTGGCCACCCTCTGTCCACCTGCACTAATGGGAGAAATCCTGAGAATCACAGCAGGAAATTCACCCAAGTGAATCCCTAAAAACAGAGATGGAAACAGAGAGGTGAGGGTAATGGCTGGGTGTGGAAAGATGGGAAAATCACATCTTTTTGGGCAAGATTTCAGAACATGTTGCTGAATTGGCAGTGCAGCTCTTGGGAAAAGCTTTGACCCGTGCTTGAGCTGCAAACACTCCCCTGCTCCAATCCGCTCCCTGGCACAAGCCATAAACGGACAGCAGTAACCATTCCAGGAGGGCTGGTGGAAGCGCCCGCCAGTCTCGTAGCGGGCCACGCCCGGCGAGGAGCCGGCAGCGGATCCAAAACCCCCCGAGCACAGAGCGTGCTCCGGCCACCGCACCTGCCCGGCACCGCCGGCGCCTTCAGGGCTGTTTGATTTCCCTCTGGCTCTGGCAGAGCTCCTGCACAGCAGCCACCACCGCAAAACTTGCTGAGAGCTCCCAGCAGCCGCTCTGCAGGAGCGGGTGACAGCGGCATCGCCACCGGGACAGGCCGGGATGAGGGATGGATGAGCCGCGGCGGGCGCCACCCCCGTCCTGCTGCTGCCGGGTGAAGTTCTGCCGACGGCTCACGTTTATTTATCAAATTCCTATTTCAAACTCCAAAATTAATCTTTTAATCAGCGGCAGAACGGGGTCATGCTTATCGGAGAGCCGGGGAGGTGTTATCTCCCCGCCATCTGCTCGCCATCCTCCGCCGCGTCCCGACGGAGCCGGCAGACAGCCGCACACCAGCCGGCACATCTGGCAGCCGCCACATGCGGGCGACGGTCCCCTTGACCACCCCTCTCCTCCAAACCAAACACGGCCCCGTGGACAAAGCTGAGGGAGGGTTCGATCCAAAATTCCAGCCTATGAGCAGATCTGTGAGGTAGAAAATGGAGTTTGAGCATTTCTGCCTCGCAGGGGCAAGGCACCAGGGCTTACCAGCCCCGTGGAGCCAGGGATGGCCAGGGGCCCCCAGCGAGGTGACGCGGCTGCTCCCATACGCACCCCACAGCATCAGCACCCATCCGGCAGCGCTGCCCCAGACACAGCCCCGGTCACGCTATCCTGCGCCACCTCCTTCCGACCGGCAACTGATTCTGCCCTTTCCGCACCCAAAAGCGCAGGGCAGCATCGGCACAGCATCTCCGGGCGCCGTCTCGGTGCCGTGGCCCCGGGGCCGCGCCCGCCGCCCCCGGCCCCCGCTCCGATGACCTACTGCAGCCGCCGGTGGATCGTGTCCCGGCACCGCCGGCCCCGCGGCCCCGCTCCTCCAGCGTGCCCCGGCCTCTCGGCCCCGCCTGGGGAGAAGCCCGGGTCTGGCCAAGCCCAAGAAAGCCTCCGGCAAAGCTCGGGGTGGTCCGGGACCCCGCCGGGGCCCACGCCGGCTCTGGCTCCGGCCCACTGACCCCCGTTAATCGGCTAAAGCCGCACGCTCTGAGCTGGCCCGGGCAGAGCCGCGCTCCGCCGGGCCTCCCTGCCCTACATAGCCACCGGCAGCCGCCGGCACCTCCCGTGCCCTCCGCCGCCCCGCCCGCGCCCAGCCGCTCCCGGGCACCGGCAAGGGGCACGGGGCCCTTCTGCGGGGCTTCTGCCAAAGGGGAGAGCCCGGCACCGCAACCGCAGCGGCAGCACCCGCAACTGCTCGCAGAGTTTGTAGGCGCTTCCCCGGTGGCTGCCTGGAAAATAAATCCCCTTTCACACCCCTGGCTGATCCCGGCCTCACCCGAGCGCTGCCCTGCAGGTGCTGTGGGACCCCCAGCGGACCCTGCCCCAGCATGAAGCCGAAATGAACCGAATCAAACAAACACCGCGAAAAACCGCGGGGTCACCGAGCCCAGCATCCTCCCTAACGCCATCCCTGCGGAACGGCTCCAAAGCTCCGCGGGATGCCCGTTCCCCTTCCCGTTCCCGTTCCCGTTCCCGGTCTCGGTCCCGGTGCCGGTGCGGTAGCTCCCGCCCCGCTCACCAGTAAATGAGGGAGAGCCCATCGAAGCGCTCCAGGGGCCGGCCGGGGGGCTGCAGGCAGGACATCACCGGGGCCGCCGGGCCTCAGGGCAGCCGGGGCCGGCGGCTGCTGCGCGGGGCCATGGGCTCCGAGCGCCGGGCTGCCCGCCCCGGCTCCTGGCACGGCTCGCCGCCGCAGGGCTGCACCTAATCCCGGGCGGGCGAGCATGTGATCGCCCCTCTGCGGCCCCACAGCTCAGCCTGCGGGGCCGAGCGGCCGGGCCGGGGGTCGCGGTGCGGCTGATTGCAGCCAGCGGGGCTGAGCCACGCCTGGGACCCCACCACGGCACCCCCACGGCAGCCAGCGAAGCGTCCCCGTGTGCCAGCGTCCCACTCGCCCTGTCCACCGCGGCCCTGATTCCATAAACCAAGCATTAGTTTTGGCACAAGGGCCCCTTCAGCCCCCTAGCAGCGAGCCCCTTCTTCACCCTGCACTTGGCAGTGGCTGCTAGTGATGGTTATAATCATTAATGATGGGTATAATCATTAATGATGGTTATAATCCATGGTTAACCTGCCACCACAAACTATTTAAAGACAATTGTAGGCGTCTCTGACCTGCACTAAGCATGGGCTGTGGCAGTACTCAGGGCTCCCCTGCTCCTTAGCCACTGCATGATAATATTTTATATATATATATATATATATATATATATATATAATTTAATATGGGGCACAAGTCTTGCATTTGGGTATTTCCCCCCCCCCCCCCCCCGTTTAAGGTTTTCTGATCCTATCTCAGCAACCAAATTACCCTTTATACTATAAGGAAAGACCTGAGAGTAAGTGCTGGTGGGCAGATGGAAACTGTTTGAAGTTGGATATTATCCTGGAATGTGAATTATCCCAGAGCAATGAAGCCACAGCCAGCTCAGTCATGTTTGTCCATATCTAGCTGTAGGTGGGACGGATGGACAGCAGGATGGACAGACGTGCCCTGATTCAGGGTGACGGAAAGTCCCAAATGAGCATCAAGCCACTGCATTTTGTGTATTTAATTTTTCCCTCTCCCCGTCAGTTATGATCCCAGGGCAGCAGCGGGGGTTGGCTGGGACCTGGGGATTAGGTGAGACCTGGGGATTATGAAATGCATCTGTCTGTGTCCCGCACGGCCCGGGAAAGCCACCAGCCTGCCCAGGGCCAGGTCCTGTGCTCACCACTCCCCCCAGCTCCAGGTAGTGCTGGGACAGGAAATCCTGGAATATCCTGAGTGGGAAGGGTCCATTGGGATCATCCAGGCCAGCTCCTGGTCCTGCACAGACACCCCAACAATCCCACCCTGGGCATCCCTGAGATCATTGTCCAAACCCTCCTGGAGCTCTGGCAGCCTCGGGGCCGTGCCCATTCCCTGAGGAGCCTGGGCAGTGCCCAGCACCCTCAGGGGGAAGAACCTTTCCTGATCTCCAACCTAAACCCGCCGTGGCACAGCTTCATGTCACAGCTTCGGGACGGAACACGCAAGGACGAGCTGAGGAGAGCACTGAGCAGCCGAGGCGATGGTGACCTGTCTGTGCAGCCACTGCTGCCCAGCCCCGAGCTGGGGCATCCCGCGGCAGCTGCCAGGGCTGGCAGCCCAGAGTGTGGCATGAATGGGGAGCCCTGGATCCCTGGGGTGAGCGCAGGGAGGGCCCGGCCGGGCGGGCCCGGGGCTGCCCGCAGGCGCTGCTGCCGGGACAAGGCGGGGAATTGAGGCCGATCCCGCTCGGCATCCTTTGCGAGTGACTGTGCAGGATGTGCCGGTGCCAAAATCCTTTTCACCTGTCGCCTCCCAGCCCGGTGACAAGTGCCCTGTCCTCCGCCCAGGACAGCCGCCTCCAGCTTGTCACGACCCCGCTCTGGTGTGCAGCTCTGCTTTAGGGGGCAGCCCTAAGGGGTCCCAGCCCAGGCCCCCCATCCATCGGGGCACCCCACGGGGCGTTTGGGGAGCGTTTGGGGTGCAACTCCCCAGCCCAGCGATGCCGAGGGGTGCTGGCGTGGGGAGAGCCGCCCGCTGCCGAGGCTGTCGCAACGCGGGCCCGGGCGGTGCCGGGCTGGGTCCCGGGACCGGTTTGTGCCGCCGGGAGAGGACGGGCGCTGGGCTTGCCGAAACCGCGGGGAGCGGGGCGCGGGTGCCGCGGCCGGCTCGGGGCCGGGCCGGCCTCTCCCAGTCCCACCAGTCGGGGCTGTCCCAGGCGGTGTCACCCCGCTTTGGGGCAGGACAGAACCCAGCGGCCGCGGGGATGGCGGGGTGCCCCGGGACCCCGAGCCTGCCCCGGTGCCGCCGGTCCGGCTGTGCCCAGGCACCCGGGGCGCTGGGACATCATCTCCACCGCCCTCCCTGCGGCTGCCGGGAGCCTGCCGGGACGCCCCATGGCCGTGTCCCCCTCTCGCCCACAGCCTGGGGGTCACAGCATCCCCCGAGGCAGGCTCTGGGCTGAATCACGGCGGCGTGCTGCGGGGCCGGGCGCTGCCCTGCCCTTTCCCCCCGCGCGTTTCCGCGCTGGCGGAAGCGGAGCATTATCTCCCTCGCCCCTGGGTGCGCTCCAGCTGCATATTTATAGATTTGCAAACATTACACCCCGGAAATTCCCAGTCTTTACATCACAGGCCAAAGCCTGCAGTGAAGCCCTGACCTTTTTCTTCCTCTCGATGCGTTCTGAGGGACCGTGAGAGAGCGGTCCCAGCCAGGATCAGTGCTCCTGCATGGGTGCTCAGGGCTGCAGCACCGTGCCCCCGAGGGGCACAGGGGACACAAAGGAGCCGTGGATGCCCCTGGAAATGTTCAGGTCCAGGTTGGACTGGACTTGGAGCAACCTGGGCTACTGGAAGATGTCCCTCCCTTGGAAGGGGGGGGGGACTAGATGAACTTTAAGTCCCTTCCAACTTAAACCACTCTATGATGATTTGATGATGATGATGATGATGACACCTGTGTGTCCCCACTGGAGGTCTGGGACCCCCATCCCTTCATAAGACAGGAGAATAAGGACCACGAGAAGCTGCTGCTGTCTTGGATGCACATTCTGACCTTACCATCCAGCCCATTCAGGGACCGGTACATTGTTCAGTGCCATTCCAAAAGTCATGGCTGGGGACACAGGACAGGGACCTGCCAGGGTGGCCGTGTCCCCCCTGCCCGCTCCCCTCTGCCTCTTCCCCCCCAGTTTGGTGCAGATGTCCCCAGTGCCTGCTGTGCACACCAGCACCCAAAGCCACCCCAGCACTGGTGACAACGCAGCCCTCCTGCTCCCAACTGTGCTGGGAGGATGAGGAAGAGCCAAAGTTCATTTATTCCAATCTGCATTTTTGTGCCAAATGAGTCAGAGCACCGGCCTCTCTCAGCCTTTGTTTTGCTTGGCTGCCTGCACTCGCTTTCGCTTGGTGTTTGTTCAATATTAAGTCCCTTGACGGCACTTGGCTCAAACCAGCAAGTGCAGCAGAAAAAGGCACTTCCCTGCTGGGACAGGAGCTTTCCATCCTTCGGCATCGGCAGCGATGCGCTTGTGTTATTCTATTTCTTTCTTACAGTTTGAGGAACCCCGAGCCTGGTCCTTTGAGCCACCACGTCCCACCAGAGCCATCAAAAGCCATCGAGGCTGGCAGGGGCTGGGATGGGGCCGGAGCCGTGCTGATTTCAGAGCAAAGCAGCCCCAAACAGAGCTGGGGGAGGTTTCGCCGGCACAGGACCAGTTCGGAACGAGCACGGCCGCATTCCTGCGCAGGTGGGAGCCGCCGGGAGGAAGCGGCAGCGCGGAGGTGTTTCAGTGCCCTGCTTTCCTTCCGTGCGAGCAGGAACTCCCTTCCCACCCCAAATCCCTGCCGTGGGGGCCGCCAGCTCAGCTGGGCCCTCCAAAAACTGACAAAAACTCCCCACCCAGAAAATAAATGAGATTTTGGCTCATCAACTGCTGTTTGTGTTCCATCGAGCTTTTGGAAGAGATTTCCAAGTGGTTTTGCCTCACCCCCCCCCCTCCATCAGAAGTCAAATCTGAAAATTCCTCCTTGAGGAGCATTGCTGAACAGCTGCCAGGGCTGATCATCTCCATGCCTGGCTCCTCTGCTCCGTTGGGTCCCCAAAACCCCTCAGCAGTGCCACAGTGCCTTTTGGGACCCGTG